CCCCACTTACCTGCTCCGTTTCTTGCATGGAGGCAGCCAAAAGTAGCCCGTCTTGGACCCGGCTGATCATGGTTAGCAGAACCATGTTAGCGGGAGGAAAGGGGGCGAGCGCAAAAGGAGGGTCTTCAGCTCAGAGCGGGGGGGGGCAGCGTCCCGCCCCCCGCTCCTCTTCCTCACCCTCCGTCCCTCTTGTCAACTCTTGCAGCCGGACTTGAAGTCTCCCGCTGACGTGGCTGATCCGGCGGGGGCGGGGAGGGGGGAGGTAGAAAGGGGCGGAGCGAGAGCGCCGCGAAGTTTTACTTTTTGCAAAGTTGCGAGGACGCCTGTGTGTTTGCGCGTGTGTGTAGGAAAAGCGGAACCGCAAGTTTCCCTCCCGATCCTTCCCTTCTTCTCCGCGTCCCCTGGAGCATCGGGGTCGTCCTTTGGAAAACGCCGTTATTATTACTGGAACTGGGGAAAACTGTAGGTTGGCCTGGCGCTTTGCTTGATTTAAGTTGCATTGTTTTAATTGCGCTCGGAATTTTTTTTTTTGCTTGCGGATCTTGGGAGGTTGGCGGAGGGAGCGACGATTTCTTTTACGCAACAATGTGCGCGCCGCTTTCGCTCGTGGAACCCAAAGCCGGTTCGCCGCACAATGAAAGCTTCAAGTCCAAGTTTAAAAAAAAGAAGAAGAAAAAGGAACGTTCCGTTTGTGACATCACAATCGCACCCCGCAAAGAGGAGAGGGAGAGAGAGCCACGTTGTAATAAATAGGGTTGCCAGGTCTGCTTCCAAAAAAATAGCGGACAAGCAGGGGGGTGGGGTGTTTAAGTAGTAAAAAAAGTAAAAAAAATTGTTTACAATTAAATTATATATTTCCTTACAAACATTTTAACACGTATTAAAATAATCACTTCAAAAAAGCATCGTATAAAAATAATAGGTAAATGCGAGTTAAGAAAAATAGTACGTAAATAATTTTATGTACTTTTATTAAATGTCTTGTGAAACAATTGAGTATGATTAATAGTTTTTTCGGAGAGTCGAGTTCAATAGATATTCGATCTTTGTCTCGTTCTAACTCAGTGGTTCTCAACCTTTTTAATGCCGCGACCCCAACCGGTCGTAAGTCGAGGACTAAACCGGTTGTAAGTTGAGGACTAAACCGGTCGTAAGTCGAGGACTAAACCGGTCGTAAGCCGAGGACTACCCAACCGGTCGTAAGTCGAGGACTTTCCCTGCCCGGGAGCGCCACACATGCGTGGTTCCGCCCCCTGCGCCGGCCGAGGCGTAGCTGGCAAGCGGCAGAGACGGAGCAGGCCGACCACCAGCTGGCCCAGCCCAAGGGAGGTAAGGCACCCGCTGGAAAAGGGGAAAAAAATGGCGGACAAAAAAAAATGGCGGACAGCCTTGCTTGGCGACCCCCGTGAAATGGTTGATCGACCCCAAATGGGGTCCCGACCCACAGGTTGAGAACCACTGTTCTAATTTATGAAAAAAAAGACAAAACGCGATTCTCCTATCCTTATTCTCTTAGACTGTACAGCTTTAGATTACGTACCATTTCATCATAAAGCTTTTGAATAAAAAAAAATGTCCACTATTTTGTGAAAAAAAATAGTGAACATAATGTGAAAAAAGCGGACTGTCCGCTCAAATAGTGGACACCTGGCAACTCTAGTAATAAACCACCCCAAGATCGTGAAGGGCAAAATCAAACTTAGATTGTTAGGGAATTGCAAGCTCAGCTGCGTCAAAGGCCGACCAATTTAACATTTCTGATTATGTTTCCAGAATATCAACAAGAAATTAATACTTGACAGCCCTTTAACGACCGGCCTTCATCCTGCTTCGATTTTATCCCCTATCCCCTACTAGGTGCCAGGACAGTCATGAAGTGGGTCAACACGTGACTGGACCTGTTTTTAATCACCTTTTTTTTTTGCAGTGGTCAGTAAGCAAACCCCCCCCACACACACGGTCGTAAAGCAAGTCCATCGTTCACTATGGGCTGTTTTTGCTGAAAACTGGAAGTAAATACTGGTTTTCTGCAAAAAAATATATATCATAACTTGCAGACACGTGACTGGGATGCAGCAAAAGTGGTTTTGTCAAGCACAAGGAGTCCTTGCTTTACCACCAATTGCTTAGCGACTGTTCAAAATTATGACCAACCATTATGGGCGTAATGGGTTCATTTAATGACCATTGCAAAAACGGTTATAAAATTTGAGTGTAGTCACATGGTGACTCCATTAATAATCATCCTGATTTACAAGCAGAATTCCAGGCTCAATTGTGGCCGTAAATCGAGGACTATCTGCAGTCAGCAATAATCCACAAACAATTCTATGTGGCGAGTGTCTATCTTCTTTACATAACGGTAAAGGGCTGCTACAGGATATGGTCAAAAAAGGCAAAATGGCAACAATATGATTGAAACTCTGCCTGTTTTTAAATGTGTGTTAACGGGCCACATTCAGATAGAATAAACCTAAATTATTTCAGATGTCCTTGGATAAAATGGTCCACAGAGCCCTTTCATTCTTGTTTTACATCTCTCATTCATGCACGTAGATGAAGGAATTAGATATAATTCAGAGTTATGATCAACCCATCACCTTGGTTTGCTATCCCTAAATTAATTCTGTTCATAATCCCGGCTTGTTCTTGAAAAAGAGGAATCCAGATTCAGATATAATTCTAAGCAAGCCATTCCTAGTTTATCTGGAACAAAATGGGAATGGCTTGCTTACACCCATACATCACTCATTCAAAACAAATCAGGAGTTAGGCCTTGTATAATTCTTAACAAACAAAGATGGTGTTTGTTTACCCATTGTTATTCTTCTATTAGGCCAGGGGTCCCCAACACCTGGGGCACAGACCACTACCAGGCTGTGGCCTATTTGGAACTGGCCCATGTGAGTGGCGGGTTGGCATACACACACGGGCAGGTCAATTTGCACAAGTCGAGTTGTGCCTGCATGCACATGCACGCTGGCTCGTCGCTTGCGCAAGTTGAGTGCGTGTGAACGCTGGCCCGCTGCTCACGTGGCCTGGTTCCCCTCTTCCCCCCCTCCCAGGCCGCGAAGCCACAAAGATTTGGGACCTCTGTATTGGACAACCTATGGCACCTTATTTGTCTAGCAGAAAAATAACAATGATATTGTTATATTTTAGAGATATTTCTTTGCCAGATCTCTCAACGTCTTCAACAATGGCAGAGCTTTTAATGTACTTTGAAAATTCCTAAAAATCCAGGGAGACATTCAGAGACGTATCTGCCTGGAAGGTAGGCCTTGCTGAACTATACAGCAGTCAAACATTAACAGAGGAGGTATTTTATGACATTTTGTATCGTGCCCTAAACTTTGATGATCATTTTTATGTCATAAAACATTTAATAAAATTTCCAAATTCCAAATCCACAGGAGTCGTGGGTCCTGGATTTTGGATGCATTCTGTAAGTTAGCCCATTTGAGGTACCTTGGTTAAAAAATTGTTGCCCTATTATATACCATTTTGTCCAGTTAAAAGTTAAGGGAATTTTGGGTAGACAGCATCACCTGTTTGTTCGTTTCTGATTCACTTTCCTGCAACATGCTCACCTGTTCTTGAACTGTCTATGCATCTCTCTTGCACAGAAACACAATACGGTAGCTTCACAACAAAATTTATTACGACCGCGTTAAAGCGCAATTGTGCATGAAGAACGAGAAGCAGTCAACTGCTGCAGGTTTTGTTAGCTTCTTTGTGCTAAATATGTTATGGGGAGGGGGAAGTAGCTTAATTGGTGAGAAAATTCAATTATGGTCCCACTTCCAGGCAAGCACAAATGTGCACAGAGAATGTGGAACAGAAGAGCAACACCACAAAACCTTTAAATCTAGATAAATCGGGACAACACCAGCCTGAATTTGGGGAATTATACTCCCAACATGTTGGAATTCGGCAGACTGTAGAATAAGATTTTGCAACATAGGAGGTGCTGAGATATACATAATACCTCCCATGTTAATTCTAATAGAGATTGTCTCAACCTTGGCGACTTTAAGATGTGTGGACTTCAGCTCCCAGAATTCCCCAGCTGGGAATTTAAGTCCACACATTTTAAAGTTGCCAAGGTTGAGAAACACTGCTACAAACAAAAAACTGAATTGCATGCAATACATTGTATTGAATTAGAGCAGGGGTTGGCCCTTTTATGACTTGTGGACTTCAACTCCCAGAATTCCTAGCTACCCATGCTGGCTGTGGAATTCTGGGAGTTGGAAGTCCACGCATCTTAAAGTTGGCGAGGTTGCACAATCCCGTTCTAATGCCTTCCCTTCAAATTTTACAAATTCCAAAACTTCCTATGTGCAGCCAAGTTGTGCATGAACACGGTATTCCCCCCAAACAGGAATACTACGGTATGTAATTTCGACAGCTCTTTTGTTTTGTTCAATATTTGGAATGGGACGTACCTATAGTTTAATTATTAAAGAATTTACCTGGCTGTCCATCTCACAGCAGGGACTCCGTACCTAGACATTGTGTGAGAAACTGCCATGGGGCCCAAGGTCTGAAAAGTCCCATGACTAAGGAGAAAGAGGAGAAGAAGGCTCTCCAATCTAGGCTTGTGAGCTTGCTCAACACAGTCAACAGGCCACTATGTGACTCACAATGCTGGTTTGCATGGGTTGATGGCCGGATCCAGCGCAGCCCGCTTGAAGTTCTTAAATAAAACAGGATCCATACTATTTTAAGAATGAGAAGACCATCAACCTGTCTCTTTTTTTGCAAAAAAAAAATAAATGAAAGCAGCTACATTTATTTTGTCGTTTTCAAATAAACTCTAGCTCTAAGCTGCTAGACCTATTGAACTATTTCTCTTAACTCTTACCTTGGATGGCTTTCCACGGGACAATTGGAGGGCTCCAGCTTCAGAAACATTGCACTAAATATCAAATCATTTAGGAAAATTTGTGCTAACTTAAGAGCTGCAGGGGCGCGTTAGCTGAGACCTTGTGCATCGTGCTTTTGGGATGAACATGCTAAGCTTAAATCCACAGTCTCGTAGCATCGTAAGACTGTCGTATATTGCAAATAGAGATTTTTCCCTCGCCCTTTATCGGCAGTAGGTTCCTTTCCACGCTGCCCCTAAACCAGGGGTAGGCAACCTTGGCTCTTTTATGACTCGTGGACTTCCTGCTGGCTCAGGAATTCTGGGAGTTGAAGTCCACGAGTCATAAAAAGAGCCAAGGTTGCCTACCCCTGCCCTAAGCTGTTAAAACCATGGCACCGTTGTGGCTTTTCATTGTCCCTCTAAATACACAGGTAGTCCTCGACTTACAATCATTTTAGATAGTGACCGTTCAAAGTTGATAAAGGACTTATGACCGTTGCAGCCTCTCTGGGGTCATGTGATCAAAGTTTGGGTGCTTAGGAACCAACATGTTTACAGAATACATAGTAATAAGTTTGGAAGGGACCTTGGAGGTCTTCTAGTCCAACCCCCTTTACTATTCCGGACAAATGGTTGTCCAATCTCTTCTTAAAAACCTCCTGTGATGGAGCACCCACAACATCTAAAGGCAAGCCATTCCATTACAACAGTTGTAGAGTCCTGGGGTCACACGATTACCTTCCCAGGGGACATCTGGCTAGCAAAGTCAATGGGAAAAAAGCCAAATTTGCTTAGTGATTTGCTTCGTGACTATGGCAAAAAAAAGGTAAAATCAGGCAGGACTCGCTTAATGACCATTTCGCTTAGCGACAGAAGTTTCAGTCCCCATCATGGTTCTAAGTCGCGGAGTACCTGTACTACCACTATAGGCTTTTGGCAGGGAGGAGGCAGAGAAGGATGGAAGGGGTCTCCACCGAGCATTAGAAAGGATAGCTGTCAACCCTGCTCCCTTCTAGCATGGATGATGTTACCTAGTCTGGTAATGAAACGTCTGCCAGAAAGACATCAAAGCTCAGACAGCATCAAGAACCTCATACATGTCATAGCTAGTAAAAATTAGCCATTTGCAAAGCTGTGCTGTGCTGGAGTCCTTTTCTCGCAAAGCGTGGTACCTATCCTGCACAAAGTTTTCCAACACCGAAGTTTGATTTCTCAGTCTCCACAAACTATACTTTGAGGTCAGCCCAGTTCCAGCTTCTGACCACGTCAAAAAAAATCTTTTCGAGCTCCCAAATGGTGAAGGAAGGCAGAGTTTCATACTCCATGGAGAAAGGAGGGCTGTCTTCCTAGCAAGGGCGGGGCAGCGAGGCCCGGAGGGAGTGCAGAGCGCTGGTCTTCCATCCGGGTTCCTTGAGCTGAGAGCAGCAAATCCAGCAGCCCTTGAATTCCGACCGGGATAGGAGGCTCCGTGCGCTGATCCTCAAGACGCTGGCTCTGCAGACGAGGGAGAAAGTTAGAGGCCGCCGATAGTCCTCAGCTTACGACCACACCTGAGCCCAATATTTCTGTTGCTAAGCTAGACATTTATGAAAAAATCACGATCACAATCACCATAATCACAATCACAATCATAATCACAATAATCATAATCATAATCATTGCATTGGAAGATCTGCAAGAAATATCATTTGCCTGCAGGCAAGAACTGGTGGGACCATAAAATAGAGAAAGTCATAGAAAATGAAAATGTTAAACTGCTCTGGGACTTCAGAATTCAAACAGACAAGCACCTGCCACATAACACCGCAGACTTAACAATTGTCGATAAGAAAGACAAAAAAGTCTGGATAGTGGACATGGCAGTGCCTGGAGACAGCAGAATAGACGAGAAGGAACTGGAGAAGATAACAAAATACAAAGACCTACAAATAGAAATAGAAAGACTGTGGCAAAGGCAAGCAAGGTTAGTACCAATAGTAATAGGCGCCTTGGGTGCAATCCCAAAACAACTGGAGCACCACTTGAACACCATTGGCACTGACAAATTCGCCATTAGTCAATTGCAAAAGGCGGCCTTACTAGGAACTGCTTCCATCCTGCGACGATATCTGCAATACCATCAAACATCCACATCTGCCTATCCCAGGTCCTTGGTAAGGACCCGATAGGTAGACAAAAATGCCAAATCTAGTCTGAACATCATAATAATAGTTGGAAGGGACCTTGGAGGTCATCTAGTCCAACCCCCTGCTCAGGAAGGAAACCCTATACCATTTCAGACAAATGGCTGTCCAGTCTCTTCTTAAAAACTTCCAGTGTTGGAGCATTCACCACTTCTGGAGGCAGGTTGTTCCACTGGATAATTGTTCTAACTGTCAGGAAGTTTCTCCTTAGCTCTAGGTTGCTTCTCTCCTTGATTAGTTTCCATCCGTTGCTTCTTGTCCTGCCTTCAGGCGCTTTGGAGAATAGCTTGACACCCTCTTCTTTGTGGCAACCCCTGAGATATTGGAAGTACGTTTTGCCCCATTTTATGACCTTTCCTGCCACAGTTGTTAACTGAATCACTGCAGTTGTTAAGTTAGTAAAGTGAATGCGGCTTCCCCATTGATGGTTTCAGTGTCCCGGGGGGGAAATCATGTGATCACCTTTTGGGACCTTTTGACAAAAGGTGATCACATGACCCTCCCAGGACACTGCAGTTGCCAAGCATCCAAATTTTGATCACACGGCCATGGGGATGCTACAATGGTTCTAAGTGTGAAAAATGATCATAAGTAACTTTTTTCAGGGCGGTTGTCACTTCGAATGGTCACTAAACGAACTGCGAACTGTTGTAAGTCGAGGACTACCTGCATGTCGGTTCCTGGAGGAGAAAAACAAATGGCTTGCAGGGGAAGGGAAGCCAATGATCCCTTGTGATTTTGATCCAGGAGAATAATTGATCTACCTCTAATTCTTACACAACTCTGTAAGGGCTTGGACAGAAGTTGGTCATCAAACCTTGTAGCCACCAACCCCCTTTTTCTCTTCTTTGAGGTCCCTTTTCCTTCTCCCCATCCCACTTGAACCCCTGATATTTCACTGTGGGAATTTTTTTTATTGGGAAATGGAGCGAAGGGATGAACCGGGCTAAGATTGTCCTCCAAGGTAGATGCAAATAAAGCCCAGTGGACAGCCTCAAGCGTGGGATCGGAGCTGCCCTCTTGACTTTTTTTGACCCCCTCCAGCAATGTCCCTGAACTGGGCCACCCACAGGCTTAACGTAGATGAAAATCTAAGAAGAATCTGCTTTAAATGAAAGACACCCCCAAACCCCATCCTCCATCTTCTTGTGGCCTTTTCCTCATAGCTCTCACCGACTGCCCTCAGCCGATGAAAAAGAAGGGGGGGAAAGGCAGAGGTGAATGTATACGTATGTTTTACACACACGCATGGAAACATACAGTGTCCCAAAAGTGCAATTCATGTAGTTTTAAAGTTCTTAAAAGCGGTGGACGTATGCCTCTGAGACAGATAAATCTCCAAGAAGCAGTAAACTGTTCTAACAGTTATGTAGCTATATTTATTGTACACAGCTACATTTAGCTTATTCTCTCGTTTCATAAAATTCACTGCTATAACTAGATGAAGACAACGACCCTGGAAATCGTTTCCAGCTCATGGCCACTGGATCATAAAACTAAACATTTGCAGAACCTGTGAATACAACCAATAAAACCCACACCTGCCTAATTTTATTGGTTAGTGAATCCTCCCCAGGGAAGAAAAAGATGTGAGATAAGTTTAATTTATTCCCCACTTTGTGTGGGGCTTCGGACATACATAGTTTATATTGGGTTACTCCGACTGTGCGTAGGGAGCCAAGGGGTTGACTTCAGAAAAGGGATCCAGAGACTTTTGGAGGAAAAAAAAATCAACTGAACCGGAAACTGGAATCCAGAGAGGTGGGAGAATATTATAGAGACTCATAAAACCCCATTGTGGTACAAGTAATCCACAATTTACAACCACACATTTAGTGACCGTTGAACATTACAATAGCACTGAAAAAAGTGGCTTTTGACCATTTTTCACACGACCGTTGCAGCATCCCCACGGTCACCTTTAGGTTTTTAGGTTTTCAACAAAAGCAGTCCATAGCAAACAATAGTCTCGCTGAGTGGACACCACAAAAAAGGTTGGTCCTTTGTCTGACCCACTTTATGTCCATCATGACTTATGACTGCAGTGGGAAGGGTCCATTATGGTTGTAAGTTGAAGACTGCTTGTATTTATTATTATTATTATTATTATTATTATTATTGATCATCGCACAGTCAGCCAGATGTTCAGACTGGATTTGGCATTTTTGTCTACCTATCGAGTCCTTACCAAGGACCTGGGATAGGCAGATGTGGATGTTTGATGGTATAACACCTTTTCTTCCAGTAGTTCTGCAGCTACTGGCCCTGGTTGCTCAGCCAATAGTCCTGAGTCCTGTAACCCATTTTTCACCAGATATCCAGGAACTTCAACATCTAGCGTGGACCTTGTTAACCCGGGCGACATCCGAGCCGGTCTGGCTTTCTGAAATTTACGTCTCACCATATTTTTTATGGAAGAGACACTCTTTGTCTGACTCCTCTGATGAGACCTGTCCAGTATGGTTGAACCTCTGGCATAGCTCTCATCTTCCTCAGAGTACACAAGCCCCACAACCACGTCAAGGTAGTGTCTCACTGGGGGATTATTATTATTATTATTATTATTATTATTATTATTATTATCAGTGGAACAACCTGCCTCCAGAAGCGGTGAATGCGCTAACACTGGAAGTTTTAAAGAAGAAACTGGACAGCCATTTGTCTGAAATGGTATAGGGTTTCCTGCCTGAGCAGGAGGTTGGACTAGATGACCTCCGAGGTCCCTTCCAACTTTATCATCATTATTATTATTATTATTATCATCATCATCATCATAATTTCATGAAAGCATAATTCTACTCGTCCTATAGAATTGGCTTTGCCTCTTGATTTTGCATTTCTTTTTTTTTAACATTTTTTTGTGGCCTGAAAAAGTTTGAAAATCCCTGCCTTACGCCATGTGGTAAAAATATCAGATGAATGAATGACATCTAAAAACTGGCTGAGTGTGTGACCAAATACTTATGGATTACCGTAATAATAATGAAACTCTATGGAAAAATAAATTCTCTGTTATACCAATCATGATCGGAATGCTTGGAGAAATATCTAAAGGTTTAATATTGAAAGAAAAATTTGAATTTTCCAGAGACAAACACCCTAATTTTACAATAAAAATTACCTTGATTGGAACTGGCTAGATCCTCAGCTACTACCTTAATCATTCTTAGGTCCTTAGTGGACTTGAATTATTAAGTTTTCACCCTTAATTGACTGTGACTCTAATTGTAGCTTACCCTCACACAATAATAATAATCAGAGAAGCAAAGTCTGCTCTCAAACGTCCTGCAGAAATTCATTGTCTCTTGCTGCAACAATTGACAATGTTTTTTTTTCTAATTTGTACTGCTAACACCTCTCCGAATATATTCCTGACGTAAAAAAAAATGAAAACTGCAATAAAATAAAACCTAAGGAATGCTTTAAAGTGCTGAGTAGGTACACCTCATTTGGGCATTTGGATCAGCTTTTGGCTGTTTTTTTTTTTTTCTCTCTCTCAAAAATTCTTCAGTTTTTCTGCAAAACTTCAAGTTTCACCAAATCTCCGGAAACTATACTCCTGATAGTTCCTGCTCACACAAATTCTGTTTAAATAAACAATGGCATTTCCATCCTGAACCGGCTAGGTAGGTGTGTAGTTGTCTAAGAGTGATGTAATTGTCATTGTTAACCATTCTATATTGATTTTGCTTTTCCTTCCCAACATGCGTGCCTTGTATTGTTACAGTCAGTTTACTTATCCTTTCATAAGCTGCCCAGAGTTATTGGTGAGGGGGAAGCCTTAGAAATAGATTAAATAAATAAATAAATACTGAGCCTGGAATTATTATTCATTGATTTTATTATTTATGCATAAGTGGCGGTACCTATTTTTGCTTTGCACCATGGTAATCCTGAAGGAGAAACTCACAAGGGGATTGCAACCATAAAACTAGGATTTATAAAGCCGTAAAACCATCTCATTACAACAGCTTAAATCCTAGATCTACCATTTGAGTGTTTGGGAGGAGGATGACCCTAGAACAGGGGTAGGCAACCTTGGCTCTTTTATGACTCGCGGACTTCAACTCCCAGAATTCCTGAGCCAGCCAAGCTGAGGGGAAAGGGAGAGGTTTCCAAGCTGAGCCAAGCTGGCTCAGGAATTCTGGGAGTTGAAGTCCACGAGTCATAAAAGAGCCAAGGTTGCCTACCCCTGATCTAGAAAGATAAAAGAGTCCTCCGGGAGGACCGGAGGCTGGAGGATCAATGGCACGTACCTGGTGAGCTAGAATAGTGTCATAGAGTTGGTCTTCCGATATCCCAGGATTCTCTTCGCTTGCAGCTTCGGGCCCTGCAAAATCAGCCCGCTGGTCATTGAGCCTCCGGGCCTGGATTGTGGCCACCATGTCAAAAAACTCTTCAGCCTGGAGCGAAGTCAGAGAAGAGAAAAAGACTGTGGAAAATGAAGAAGAAGGAGGAGGAGGAGGAAGCGGAGGAGGAAGAGGAGGTAGCGGAGGAAGAGGAGGAGGAGGAGGAAGAGGAGGAAGAGGAGGAGAAAATGGAGGAGGTGGAAGAGGAGGAAGAGGAGGAAGAGGAGGTAGCGGAGGAAGAGGCGGAGGAGGAGGAGGAGGAAGAGGAGGAAGAGAAGGAGAAAATGGAGGAGGAGGAGGTGGAAGAGGAGGAGGAGGAGGAGGAAGAGGAGGAGAAAATGGAGGAGTAGGAGGTGGCGGAGGAGGAGGAGGCGGAGGAGGAGGAGGAGGAGGAGGAAGAGAAGAAGGAGAAAGTGGAGGACGAGGAAGAAGAGGAGGAGGAAACAAAAACAACAACCTTGCATGAATTCATGCCACACAGTTATCAAGTTCACCCCTTTTCTGATTTTGCATAATCCACTTGAACCAGCATTTCTCCAAAGGGCTGGATCTGCACATTACACAAAGCAAAACAGCAAACCAGGTTAAAACCACCTAGTTCTCTGTGTCGTAGGCAATGCTACTTCTAAATCCTGAATGTTGACTTGGCTAAGCATGTAGGCATCCGAAGTCTCACCGCTGAAACTGAACCCTGAAGGAATCCTGAACAGCCGTGCTCCCTCAGAGGAGAGTTTTACGACAGCACCCAGGCCAGACCAGTTTTGTGAGGCTCCCCTGCCTTTCTCTCCTCCACGCTCCTCCTTCCCATCCCTTGCCAAGAAGGGGTGCGGACCTCCAGCAGCCCCCACCCATCCTGCTTGTTCCCTCTGCACACCACAACCACCTGCAAAAATCTATCAGAACTGTGCGAGTTGTAGGCCGCTTGGCTGGGCCTACAAGGATGAAGCCAGCAAGGCCCACAGCCCTGGCCAGCTACGTGCGAAAGTTGTCAGAAAGGCTGCAGGCGGAGCTGACCCAGAGATCTTGGCAAGATTTTTCAGAAGTGGTTTGCCATTTCCTCCTTCGTGGGGCTCTGAGAGAGAATAACTAGGAACGGGAGCAGAGTTCAAAGCACTAAAGTTTATTTTATGCTATCACTACACAAGAATTTGACCTACTAGCGGCTAAGCCAAAATAGCGCTAGATAAGGATTTCAAACTCCTTTCAAAGAAGCCTCTTCAACAAAACTAATATCTGCAGGGTTTTTTGGGTGCGTGTGCGTGTGCGTGTAGAGCATCTCCTTGAAAAATGGGAGTCCGCTCTATTTCCGAGCTTCCTAAGAGAAGGACATTTCAAGGGAAATGACTTTTTATTCCTCAGCATGGTTTCTGGAAAAAAATATAGAACAGTGAGTTGGGCATCTCTGAGCTTCTAACATTCACCTGCCCCTTAAAGTGACTGTCATTATATCCTTGAAGGTTATTGCAGAGCCCAGGTTGATATTTACAGTGAAGAGCATTCACAATCAATAAAATAGTACCCTGTTTGAACGATTTGCATTAAAAGTAAGGCATTTATACAGAAGAAGTGTTGTGTTTCTCTATGGTACCCCCAAAATCAGGAGAGTTTTCAGACTAACATATCTTATTAAAAAAGAGGCAGGTAGTCCTCAGTTAACAGTCTTTCATTTAGCAACAGTATGAGTTATGAGGGCACTGAGAAATGTGATTTATGACCAGTCCACAAATTTACGACCGTCGCAACATCCCCACAATCACGTGATCAAAAGTTGGGTGTTTAGCACCAGCATGTATTTTTTTTTTGATGGTCATAGCATCCTGGGGTCATGTGATCGCCACTTGGGATCTTGCCACCCGGTTTCTGACAAGCAAAGTCAGTGGAGGGAGCCGGATTCATTTAACGACTATGTGATTCACTCTACAACCACAGTGATTCACTTAACTGTGGCAAAAAAGATCATAAAATTGAGCACCACTCACTTAACAACTTGCCTTGCTTAGCAATAGAAATCCTGGCCTCCAATGTGGTCATACGTTGAAGATTATCTGTAATTCATAGATGCCTTTGCACTAGAAATAAAAACAGCCTCTCCTTTTAATTTCAGAAATTCCTACTGATATATCGGGGGGGGGGGGAGGAATGTACCACCTGAGTCCTTTTTCTGTGGCCCTGGACTCCTTCTGTGGACTATTGTGGATTACTGTGGACTACACAAATTCCTTATGTGTCTAATCACACTTGGCCAAATGAAGTATTCTATTCTATTCTATTCTATTCTATTCTATTCTATTCTATTGTGGGAAGAATCCAGAGAAAGAAATATTTTGGGAAATATTAAAAAGGCAGAATATATTTATCCAAAGGAATAATGGAGAAGATCTTAAAGGCAGAAAAGCAAGCCCAGTTTTTTTAATAGCCCCAAGCAGAAACTAGGCAGAGGCCAGCTTTTAGAAATGCAAATTCAATCATCCATTCAGAAAGGTTGGGGCCAGGAAGTTAGAAGCTATGAGATTAGGAAGACAAAGACCTCTAAAATCTACATACCTCACCCAAACTCTAAAAGACATGACCTTTGGGGACATAATAGGATTAACCCACCAATACTAAAAGGGCACACTCACACTTAGGTCAAAGTACATGACACAGGAAATACAAAGCCTCAAACAGGAACGGGAATCAACCTCAAAAGCCCAAGAAGGTATAAAATCCACCACTCCCAGCAACATGTGGTCAGCTTTCCCAGAGCCACGCTTCTGTCTGGCTCTGCTCTTCAATAAACTCCAACCTTCTTTCTAAAGTAGTCTCCATTTTGTTTATTCCCAGCTTGGACTGGACCCTGATGAAGATTTTTTCTTTCTACACTATCTTATTGTCAGAAATCAAATCCTTGGCTTTTTACATTTTGAGATACCAAACTGCCAGCCCTACTAGGTAAACCAGATCAGGAAATCAATAAGAAGGCTAAGACTAGTTTTTATTAAGATGGGCTATAATAGTATTTGGGTTAGCCCTCCTGTCCCTCTTATACACCAGTGAATCAGGAAGGTGCCTGAGTTGCTTCTGGATGTTATCTCATTGCTTGGACTTCAAAAATGTTTTGGCCCCTTTTACCAAGTCAGTGGTTCTCAACCTTTTCTTCACATGGACCCCCTTTAAATATCTTTTAAGCAAAGCTTGTGTCAGTTAAATATAATTTATAAGTATAATTTCCATATTGTAATTTCACTTTTTTGTGAAAAAAATGGCCACAGACCAAGGCCATGGATCCCCAAGACTTAACTCAAGATTTAAATCATAACATTTCTACAAGACTTCCCTGTGACGATAAAACAAAAAAAAGAAAAAGAAAATTAAAAATCCCAGCCCCAGATGCCTGAGATACCTCTACCCTAAAGCCTTAAATACACCTCTCAGACACTAAAAACCCACTTACTTTGTTGCACATGAACACATTCTTTTGAGAAAAACAATTGTGCAAGAACAATTGCTGAAACTAGCCTAAAAGTTGCATCTTGTGGAAATTTTAATCACTGTCCCTTCTAAACTAATTTGGCTTAGTTCACATTTCATACCAAGTGCTGGAAGCTTCTGTTGCACAATTGAAGAGAGTTCCCCAAAGTTCTTTTTTAAAAAATAAATAAAAACTGAGCTTATGCTATAATTAGGAAGTAAGAAAATAACTGTAGCTTATATTGTCAGGCTGTTGGTTTTCGGCTTCTGTCAGATACCAAATGCAAAAACGAAAATCAAAAGGAAATCCATCATGCACATAAAAGGGGTGGGGCTTCTACAACACGCTTACGACCACCATCTTGACTTTTTTGACACCTTGGGTGTTTTAATATCTTCTAGTATGCTTGGGTTAAAAGTTGAGTTTTGGGGGAAGTCTTGTTCTTTGCCACAGGGGGGCAGTGCTGAGCAGACATCCAATTTTCTCAGCGGAAACCAGTGAAACACAATAGACTTATACAACCTAAATACACAACTTTTCTATATGCTTCATTCTTGTGATACGACACAGAAGGGGGAATGAGTGAGGAATGCCAGATTTATCTGCCTTTGGAAACTGAGCATTATTTTATCACTCCAACCATTTCGTTTCATGATTTTTAAAGTAGCGTCAAACTTCTATACTCATAAATAGCATCAATGACTGAACTAAACAAAAGGGGGTGCCCTGATTTTTTTCTCTCTGCTACAGGGAAAGAAGAAATAAAATAAGTGGAAAGCACCCTGGTTGGACCTTTGCTCTGTAAACTTGAATTCTGGATCCCCATATTTTTAGGATTAGTGAAAGACATTGGATTATGAATAAGACAGAAACAAGAGACCGGACAGCCATTTGTCTGAAATGGTGTAGGGTTTCCTGCCTGAGCAGGGAGTTGGACTAGATGACCTCCAAGGTCCCCGCCAAGTTTATTATTATTATTATTATAATTCAAACTTCACAGTAAACCACACAAAAAAGTGAAAATTACAATATGGAAAGTATACCGCTCTATATTTAACTGACTGTTGTTAAATGAATTCGGCTTCCCCATTGACTTTGCTTGTCAGAAGGTCGGAAAAGGGGATCATACGACCCAAGGACACTGCAACCGTCCTAAATACATGCCAGTTGCCAAGCATCCGAATTTTGATCACGTGACTGTGGGGAATACTGTAGCAGTTGTAAGTGCGAAAAATGGTCATAAGTCAACTTTTTTTTTGTACAGTCACTAAATGAACTGTTGTAAGTTGAGGA